GTGTGTGTGTATCTAAGGCCAACCATAAAGTTAATACTGACTCAGAAGAACTAGTATCAAGTAGAGATTTTCAGGAAGCACAGTAAACAAGAGTACTGGGAATTTCTTGTGCTTACAACAAATGTATGGTTTGAGAGGTGGACTTGTTTTCAGTCTGTGGATGAACCAAATAGCCCTTCTTGGAAATGATCCGGGGGGATTTTAAATAGGCAGAAATCCTCTGGTCAGCACAAACTTCAAGCTAGCAATTCTCCAGACAGCGCGAAGCTGTTTTTCAGTGTCAGCTCCGGTCAGAAGCGTGTGTTGTGGCATTTGGAAGAAGAATTAGGGCAGTTAGCTAATTGCACGCTTGAAAATGACAAGCCACTTGAAAATTCAAAAGTCTGACTCAAATCCAAAAAGAAATTGGTATAGCTTTGAACTTCATAGTTGTTATTTTATACTGAATTTCAAGCGCTTCCTATTAAACATGGAAAATTTGCTTTTCCCCCCTGACTTTATCCTGAGTATTTTACTATTCTTAGCCCATGTTTTGAAGTGTTTTTGATATAAAAGATAGGGCACAGGTCAGTTATGTTAATTCAGTAAACAGCTTTTGTTTGCTATGGAAGCATATTCCATTGATTCTCTGCGTTATTTTTAAAAGATTTTTTTTATAAAGTAGTTCACAACATTTTATTACATTTAATACTCAAACAACAATCCCATCACCCTTATACCTTTCCACCACTATATTTCAGAAGTTTCCATCCTGAACCCCAATGCCTGCCCCAAAGCAGAAATGAAATAATATATTTTGTCACTGTCACTGTCATTGATCGTCAAATTACTCGAGCAGGCTCTAGCCCTGGGATTTTAGCAGCCTCTCCTTACTCGTCTTTTCCCAATGATTGGAGGCTCTTACAGGGTCAAGGGAATGAGACCTGTTGTCGTTACTGTATTTGACATATCCAATAAGTCACAGGGAGCTTGCCAGGCTCTGCCCATGCGGGTGGGATACTCTTGGTAGCTTGCCGGGCTCCCCGAGAGGCATATATTTGTATATTTTTCTCTATGGTTTGTTGCCTACTGTCTGAACTCCATCAGATATGGTGTAGTAATTGTGGAAAATGGGTCGGAAGTGTCTTATAATGTGGCCGTGAAGCAGCTGCACAGTCTGGAAAGCGGCCTGGAGCGTGGTGGTAGTTGGGTAGTGGAGGTTGCCTCCTGGGGCTGGGTCCCTTGGGGTGTGGAGAGATTTCATCCGTCTCACAGCCTGGCACGGAGTCTGGTATATAAATATATTTTGTATTGTTTGTTATTAAAAACCACTGAAAATGCTACAAAAAAGTTTCTTTAGAGGAAAGAGTGTGAAGATTATTTTATTTCACATAGTGGCCATTAAACCCTTCTATAAGAGATCACTAATACGTTGTTAAAGGTTGAACCTTGTGTGCTTACATGTAAATATCAGTAAAAAAAATTTTCCCTCTAACATTGGTTGCCTCCTACTTTGAACCCCACCAAATGTGGTGCCATACTCTTCTCGAGGCCATCTGGTCTAGGAGTGGGTTCACTTGTGGGTGAGTTTCAGCCTGAGCGTGTGGAGGGCATCTGTGAGCAGGGCAGTGGTTGTGTTATGGAGGTTTTGGGCTTCTTGGGCTGGGTCCCTTGGGGTTGGGCGGGGTCTCACCTGCCCCCCTCCAGGGCGCCCTGAATGAACAGCCTGGCTTAGGTCTGGCGGATTCTCTGCTGTCATGCTGGTGATAAAAGTTGACTTTTTTAATCAGTGAAAAAACATATTACTGATCAGCAGTCTTTCAGATTTCAGGAGCCCTAAACAATTTATAAAGGGCCAACTGGGGCACTTTTCCTATAGATGTTCAAGAGTATCAGAGGAGGGGGTGGGAAATGTCGTGAATTATTCTATAATGGAAAGATGAGCCCTGCTGACTTAAAATTACATTTTCTTAACAAAAGGGAATGGTCCGCAGAGGTGGTTCAACAGACTGAATACATTAGGAGTCCCAGGTTTTGGTTTCTAGCACCACATGGTTCCCTGAACACCACCAGGAGCCACCCCAAAGGATAGATTCCTTGAGCACACTTGGAAGTGACATCCAAATCAAAGCAGTAAACAAAATGGTGGTGTCGGGGCTGGGGAGATATCTCAAAGGGGTGACACATTGGGGCCTCTGGGGTCTATCCCAGGCATTCTGTGGTTCTCTAAGAACCACAGCAGAGTAACCCCAAAACACTGCCACGTGAGGAAGATCTCTTGCCAGGAAAAGAGCTCATTGTTTTAATATCTGTGGGCTTGTTTGGAGGTTCTGCAGAGAAGGGCAGTCATTTATAGAGACTCAACTGAAGAACTGTGAATTAATTCTTGAACTTCGAGAGAAAAACTTTGTCACCCTGAAACTGGGGGTGTAGAGCGAGGGATGGCAGTTGTGAAAATGTGGCCACAGACAGACAAATCCATTGAAGAAGCCCCTAAAAATTCATGTCAGAGAAGGAAAGAGAAGTTAGTCATCAGGAAGAGGAACTCAAAGCTCCAGATTTTTCAGTCTCAGCACTAATGCCTTTTTTTTTTTGCTTTTGCTTTTTGGGTCACACTCGGCGATGCACAGGGGTTACTCCTGGCTTATGCACTGAGGAATTACTTCTGATGGTGCTGGGGGACCATAAAGGGTGCTGGGAATCAAACCCAGGTTGGCCGCTTGCAAGGCAAATGCCCTACCTGCTGTGCTATCGCTCCAGCCCCACTAATGCCATTTTGAACTGGATTATTCTTTGTTGTTGAGCACTATCGTATGCATTTTACAATGTTGAACAACAACTCTGGGCTTTTTTCTTTTTCTATTAGATGCCCAGAATTGATACCCCTGTCGCCCGCCCCTGCCACCACGACCACTGTGTCAACCACTGTAGCACTGTTCTCCAGTTGTTCATCGATTTGCTCGAGCGGGCCCAGTAATTCTCCATTGTGAGACTTGTTACTGTTTGGCATATCAAATACGTCACGGGTAGCTTGCCAGGCTTTGCTGTGTGGGCAAGATACTCTCGGTAGCTTGCTGGGCTCTCCGAGAGGGACGAAGGAATCAAAATCTGGTTGGCATGGTCAGCTGTGTGCAAGGTAAATGCCCTACCCGCTGTGCCATCACTCCAGATCACAAATATCCTCTAGACATTGCCAGACGTGCCCTGGAGGACACAAGTCCCTGTCATGAAGAACTATGGCTAGAGCCCCATAGAATGTTGGGATAAAGGTCCCTGTGAAATTAGAGTGGCAGTTACCAGACTTCTTGTGTTCACTTGGGGACACCCACCCATCATTATCAAATGTTGACTACTGATTACTCCACACTAATTCACTCTTATTTTTGTCCTCAGTTGAGATGAAACTTTCTCTCATAGGTTATCAGGTTCCTGAGGTCATAGGTCCTAGATCCTCCCCCAGTTCCAGGTTGAAACTACTCACATGTCCCTATACCCACTCTTAGCCTCCCTGGCTTCTACCCGCAGCATTGCCTAGATTAAACTGGTAGGCTGCTTTCAGTCACTCAGGGTCAAAAGCTTCTTTTTTTATGTTTTCTTTCATTATGTTTGTTTCGGGTTGGAGTGATAGCACAGCGGGTAGGCGTTTGCTTTGCACACGGCTGACCCAGGTTCGATTCCTCCACCCCTCTTGGAGAGCCTGACAAGCTACCGAGAGTATCTCACATGCACAGCAAAGCCTGGAAAGTTACCTGTGACATATTCGATATGCCAAAAATAGTAACAACAAGTCTCACAATTTGTTTTGAGACATTACTGGTGCCCGCTTGAGCAAATCGATGGACAACGGAAGGAGAGTGCTCCAGTGCTACAGTGCTACCTCAGTGACCTCTTTTGGATGATTCTCTCTCCCGTGGTCCTCCCCCCTTATGAAGGAACCTATGTGCAGGAGAGGAGCTCATGTCACACATCCCAGGTCTCATTGGTACAACACAATGGCACCAACCCATTAGCACACACCCCAGTATCTGAGCGATCAGTCTTGTTTTGGTTCCTTCTACAATAGGTAAAGGACTGTTTCATCCATACATAATTTTGTGACCTGGTGGGAAGGTGGTAGAGGGTGTGGGGGTCTATAGGTTGCCATTTGCACATTGTGGTTTCTGATATCATCTCTTCCTCCATTCTGTAGCCTGGCAGTCCAACTCCCAATAACCCATTTTTTTCTCTGTCCCATGTGAAGATCGTGGGTGGGTTGAGGCTAGGGTGAGGAGTGGGTGTCTTCCAAGTGGTGTCTTCCATTGCTGGTGTTTTCTGTATCAAATGTGACACAAGCATCTCCGGTTGCACAGTTAGAGAAAAGACCCCACCCCACATAGGTGCCCCCCGTCCCCCCAGAAGAGTTATGAGAAGAATCACCATTTAGTCCTGGAGTATGCTTTCTCTCGGATCAGCCCAGAGGTCTTGAGTGAGGAACCTTCCTGGAGACCTTGAATGATTGAGCTTCTAGCTTAGTCAGGTTCAATTGGCAATCTATTTGAGTCAGTGATCCAGTACAGGGTATCAGAAGCAAAGAGGCCGGCAAGGGAAACCAGGTATTGAAGATGGTGAAGCTATAACAAATGTCATCTTCAAGAAGTTCTTTCCCACTTTTTCCAGTGGAGTGAATTAGAAGCTCTTTGAATGCAGTTAGGTATGTGTTTGGGGATAGAATGATGATTCATCAGTAAACTGAGTTTATGCGTCATAGGTACAGGAATTCAAGGAAAATATACACCTCCATACCCACGCACTAACTCACCCCCACATACACACTCTGTTCTCCCCATAAGATATGTCTACAGTGATGGAGAACATAATTTCTAAATCTAATGGGATGAAAAAGTTGAGATAGAAGATGTATGTTTTCAATCTGTCTTTGAAGTTGTCTACTTTTTTCAACTTCCACAGGTTCTGAAATCCTAGTCTGGGAAAATACAGATGATTTCAAGATTCTAATGTTATGATTTCTTTTTTCTTTTAAGCTTGAAGAAGAATTCCAAAGAAAGGCCAACATATCCAGAGCTTATGGTAAGTATAGTTTCTAGCGCCAACGTGTCCATACTAATAGTTTGGAAAGCCAAAATCACTAACATATAAATTATTATCAGTATACTATTGGAAAATATGTATACTATTGGAAAAGCTGATTCATGAAGGTATTGGTAACTGGAATTGATCTCAAGAGTGAAAATCTGAAGGCATTATCTGTCCTATCTACATCTAAAGTTCAACACATCTCACTATTGGGGGTGACCCCAAACCCCAAGCCCCCCCAAAAAGTGGTTTCTAGGGGTCAGACTTGTGATAAAGAACTTGCCTTATCTGTGTGAGGCCCTGGACTCCATTTTCAGCACCTCAGTTCCCCTCCTCACTACTGAGTGCCGCTACCCCAACTGGGTTTTTCCCCCAGGCAGATAAACTTGTCATGATATAACTAAAGTATGTCTTCAAAATTTTTATTTAAAAAATTGAAGGATATTAAGAATTATAAATTTCTCAACTGAAATGAAGACAAGCATAATGTGAAGGATTTCAGTACTGAGAGAAAATTAAGTGTCATTTGACTGATCAATGTTTGCTAAACTATGATTAATTGGACAAACTACTTGTGGGTGGATGTTTAGGAAAGAATCACTGTCTTCTGATTTTCACTTTAAGGGAAGAAAGTAAGACAGTTTAATAACTGAAATTAAATTCCTTCAGCAGCCCCAATTTATCATCTACAGAACTATGAATAACCATGAAAATCATCCCCTAAAGTTGTTTTTAAAAACAACACAGCAATATTTTATTAACTAATTTTACAAATCTTTACAGTGCAACCCATATTTTTCAGAAACAAACCAAGAGTTTAACTTCCCAAGGTTATTGCCACCTGCTTTAGCAGAGGGTAAAGGATCTTTCCTTATAAATATGAGTATCTTTCTTTAAGCATAGTTATGTGGAAATATTTTTAAAGATTAAACTAGTTTCTACTACACTAGTAGTTATTTTAATTTGAAACTTACTCAGAATGTCTCTTTCTGAGAGCAGAGCTCACCCTGAAATCCTTGTCTAAGTGTATGCTGAATGTGCAAGAAACACTTTTTTTTGTTGTTGTCGTTTATTTTTTTTTTAGTGCAAAACATACTCCATTATATTTTTCATGGCTCGAAGGACCATTATATTTATTTGGGAGGAAATCACTTTCTGTTTTCTACATAGTGCCGATATCTTGTCATGTGATAACACCATACTTTGTGAGTCTAGGAGAGATAATGTTTTTGTAAATTTTTAAAATTGAGGCACTTGCTAATTTGTGTTATCCCTTCCCAAGAATTTTTGCAATTTTCAAGCTTTTACCTTGAGCAGGGGATGGAAGAGTTCTATTCACACTCAATTTCAAGAGGATCAGAGAAAACAGTGACCTAATTTCTTATGGGAGCACAGTTACTCTGCAGATGCTAAATCCTCGCTTGTGTGCCAGTCCGCCCACAACCAGGCCCAGTATTCAAGGTCAGCTCAGGATAGAAGTACAGATTTTTAGTACCTCATAACAAATGGGGAGGCAATGCCATTCCAATATGAAAAAGGTACATTGATGGACCATTGCTTGCTCTCCTGAGAAAGATCTAGTTAGAACTTTGCCCGTTTTTCTCAACCAGATGATATTTTTCCCCTGCCATTGGGACTTCTTGTACAATCTGGATAAGATTTTATTTATTTTCTTTTGGGACCACAGTCAACAGTGCTCAGGGTATACTACAGTGCGTGTAGCTCTCTACACAGGGATCACTCCTGGCAGGGCTCAGTGGATCATATTGGATGTCCGGAACGGAACTCAGATGGATTGTGTGCAAGGCCAGCTCTCTACCTCTACTATCCTTCCAGCCCTTCTGGGTGGGTTATTAAATCCGTAAAAGCACTCTGGAAAATAGTGTGGAAATTCCTTACAAATTAAAAATTGAACTACCAAATGATTTAGCGGTTTCACCTCTGAGTGTATATTTGATAGAAATGAAATCCCTTTCTCCAAGAGCAGCCTCCTCTGCCAGTACAGAACGCTTACAAATGCCAAGACAGAAAAGCAAACTCAGTGTCTGTTGGTGGATGAATGAGAACATGGTTGATATATACACACATGCACGTACTCAACTGTAAAAACACGCGCTTTGCAGACTTAGCACAGAAGTTACAGTGCTTGCCTTAGGTGCAGCTGACCCTAGTTCAATTGCTAGCACCAAATATAGTCCCTTGAGCATCAACTAGAGTGGCCCCCTAGCACAGAACCAGGGATATCCCTGATTATCCGACAGGTGTAGCCCCATCCCCATCTACCCCAACAGTCATTCATTTCTCTCGCCCCCCCCTTCCGCTAGATTCCCCCTCAAAAAGGGGAGAAATCCTATCAGTTGCACCAACATGGATAAAATATGAGAATATTATGCAGAGCAAAATAAATCAGGAAAGACAAACACAGTGTAAGCACATTTATATACAAATTTTGTGAAGTTCAACTCATAGAAACAGAGTAGATTATAGTTTGCTTGGACTGGGGGTGGTAGGAAACAGATAGAAGAGATCATCGGGTAAAATCTTCCCCATCAGATGAAGATGTTTTGGGTTTTTGTGACCTGGTTAGCAGTGCTGTGTTGTTTGTATAGGTGAGTGTTGCTGAAAGAGAACATCTTAAGCTTTTCCACCATGCACACATATAAATAATGGAAATTTGGTGTAGTGAGGGACATGCTTTGCTATCTTATGATCATTTTGTAATCTGCTTGTATCAAATCATCACATCACACAGGACATATACCTTAAACTCAGACAATATCGATTTGTTTTGATTTTGGGTTGGGGGTCACATCCAGTGGTGCTTAGGGCTTCCTCCTGGCTCTGTGCTCTGGAATCATTCCTGGTAGGCCGGGTTGCCGCACACATAGCAAATGCCGTACCTGCTCACTATAGTTCAGGCGCTATTTTTAAATAAAGCTGGAAAAATAGTTGTTAGAGCGCATGAGTGCATGTGCACCCAACTTGGATTTGATTTCTGGCACCCCAGGGTTCTTTGAGCATTAGCAGGTGCAGTTCCGGATGTCCCCTGCAACCGGCCACACCAGGGCCCAAGCAGAATTGCATCCTTTGACCTTTGCAGTGAACTTCCAGCCCAGATGGGATGTCTGGGGATCCTGGGCACTTCTTGGCTTATGGAAGAGGGGGAAAGAGGTTAGATAAATAGAAAAAGCATAGTTTGAAGCTACGCAGCCGGCAAGAGTTCTAGAAAGCAGATTGGACAGTGGGTACAGTGGGGCGACTTTAAGGCACTGTAAGGAGGAGCTTGAAGAGAGGCAAGGTATCTTCCTTGAGCCTCTGCCATCCCTTTGAAAGGATAAAGCCAGGACAATGCTCCTGTCACTCAGCATTCAAAGAAGACACACAGGCTGGGGAATGGAAGATGAAAAATCTTAGCACGCTGCATGTGTAGGTTGAATATTCCATCCCTGATTACATATTTCAATAGTTCACCAGGGTTTTGTTCAGTCCTGCCACCTGATTTTGGAAGTATTGATGCATCCCCTCGCCCCCTGCCCCAAGATTTAAAAAAATGATTTTCATATAAAGTACAATAGATGAACAGGGATTTCTGTGGGACCCTATGGAGTCTAATGTTCTGTTCATATATTGTGGTGTCAGAGGTTGAATCGGGGTTTTATACATGCAAAAGATAAACTCCCTTGCTAGCTTCCTCCATGGTTTGTCGTTACTTTTTAGATAAAAGAAGATTTTTTCTCTATATTTCTGGCTGTTGAAAAGGAGCACATTTCCACCCTAAGTTTGAATTTCATATTCAACTGGTGGCTGGTGGGGAATTTTATCTTTCTTAAAGATAAAGACACAGGGGTCTTCTTTTGCCTGTCTATTTATATTAGATGATGGGTCTCCACTCCCTTCTTTTTCTGGCCTTGGTCTCTCTGATACTGGAAATAAACTTGTCTTTTAAGGCTCTAGCTGTCTCCTGCTTTCCTGGGAATTGAGGTTTTAAAATGGAAAATCTGAGTCCTGGCTCCTTGACGTTAGAATGGAGAAACCACACAGAGGAACTATTGTTGGGCTCTGTCAGAGTTGGTTGAAAGGGAAAAACATCTTCCCTCCCCCTCTTCCAGGTGAAGAGCAGAATAATGAAGGTTCCCCTAGACCCATGCATTTGCTGCTTACAAGACCCCTCTTGCCACCCGTTTCTCTCCCTCCCCGCAAGGAGGGTTGTACCTGTGTTCAGATCATCCCATTAACTAATTCTTCCACATTTTCATGGAAAGACATGATTCAATAGGGTTTATTTTTCTAGAATAGGGAGCAGCTAACTTTGGGTAGGTGGGTGGGGGGCTATTGGCTAAAATGCTATGTTTTATAGCCAGTCACTACCTCTGTGGTTTTACCGTGAAATCAGCCATGGGGGTAGTTTGGGTGTGACTGTGTTTCAGTAAAACTTTATTTTCAGAGCAGGGAGTGGGTGCAGGATGATCTCTGAACATTTCTCTGTTCATTTCTAAACTTGAGAATAATCACTGGAAGGGATTACCAGGTGATTCAAGTGATGGCCCAGAGTATTCTATAAAGAGCCATGAAGTCCCAAAAGGAATCCCAATGTTAAGTAAGGAGTACAGGACACAGAGAAAGCTGTATGTAGGGACTGGAGCAATAGCACAGCGGGTAAGGCATTTGCCTTGCATGCGGCCGACCTAGATTCGATTCCCAGCATCCAATATGGTCCTCTGAGCACTCCCAGGAATAGTTACTGAGTGCATGAGACAGGAGTAACCCCTGAGCATTGCCGGGTGTGACCCAAAAAGCAAAAAAAAAAAAGCTGTATGTAAGTTTGATGGATAGAGCATTGTGTATGGGAGAAGGAGGCCTTGGTGGTGGCCACTTATCCCAGTGCTCCTGATGCTATGTCTTCTGATCTCCATGCTTTACCCAAATACAACAGTGAACTGAAATGGTGGTAAAACCTTCCATTCCTATAGTTGGTGCTTCTGCTAAGACACCCCACCCAGCATTGTAATCTGGGGAGATTCCATGTGCCTCATCCGTGTATCTCCTGATTGGGGTCCTTGCTATTCTTACTCCACTGCTTAGAGAAAAAACTGAGTTTCCTCCCATCCCTTGCTGGCCTCAAACCCCACACTAGAAAACAAGTTCCATGTTCCATGTAGGCTGGCCTGTCTACTTCCTGTCCCCTGCTTTGGGATCCTACAGCATTTTCCCAGCCTGAGAATTAAGATGTTTGAGGTATTTTTTTTTTTAAGTGAAGCCAGGGAGTTTCTATGGAACAAACCTTGCTTAGAAAGAAATGAGAGGAGAGAAATTTTGTATTCCAGAGAGAATACATATACACACTCAGGCTTCTCCAGAGTGGAAATAAGCAAGCAAAGCAGCATGGAGACAAACAAGTGAGATAAATGTTCAAGGGAGAACGTACACTTGAAGAGCAAGCCAGGGATTTTTGTTTTTCTTTTTAAGACCAGGACAGGTGATGGAATTCATTCCCAGACTCAGCCTCTATCCACAACTTGTGGTCACCCACAGAAACAAAGGTCATATAGGACTGAGATTGGAAGCACAAGTCATGGAGACAATGTGAGGTCAGACATCATCTGTTTTAGTGGTCCAAGGCACTTGTGTCCATTAAAAGATCCTCAGATGTCAGGAGGATGCGGGGAAGCTAATGAGCAGGATGGCAAAACATTGGAGAAGCGCTCTCTGTAAGTGGTCAGTTATCAAAAGTCATGCAGCACCGTAGCACTGCCCACCCGTTGTTCATTGATTCACACGAGCGGGCACCAGTAACGTCTTCATTGTGAGACTTGTTGTTAAGTATTTTTGTCATATTGAATACACCACAGGGAGCTTGCCAGGGTCTGTCATGCGGGTGGGATAGTCGCGGTAGCTTGCCGGGCTCTCCAAGAGGGACGGAGGAATAGAACCAGAGGTCAGCCATATGCAAGGCAAACGCCCTACCCATTGTGCTATCACTCCAGCCTATTAAAAGTCATACTGTTATTAATGTGTCTCAAAGTAGCCCTGAAACTAGCACCTAGCGTGGAGAGTTTATTAATTCACTGAACTCTGAGTCAGCACACAACCTGTATCTTCCGAGGGACAAAAGGAGCAAATTTCTTTTCCATGTTCTGAGTCACGGTCCTTCACAGTGACCACCTACCTTCTTTGGGGTTTTATTTATCTATTTTTGTTCCTTCCCCAGTTGCATTGTGTCCTAAAACTCCCATGGGTAGGCACTCAGTTCCCTGTGGCGCTGACTCACCCAGCCTTCTGCCTTCAGGTTTCAAACAAATATAATTAGGAAACCAACAGCTAGGCAACAGGAAGGTTGTAAACTACAATCGCTGCAGTGAGGGGAAACAGAGTGAGTCACTGTGTGTCTGCATGCAGACGTGGTGCCCCTGGTTAGCTCCTCAGCTTGTCGTTGAAAACGACGCCCCCAGATGCTCAGGGAGGTGGCAGCCCTGGGCTGGGGGTGGGGGACTGACAAGAAGTGTTTATTGAAGGAGAGGGTTCTCTGGGGCTTGTGTGATTGACTGTTTTCACTGTGATGATGGTGGATTCTGCGCTGATGTGTCTTCCGATTAGCAAGGAAAGGTTCTAGAGTGATAGCTGGGAATTTACTGTCATAGAATTGAGCAGTTGGTAGGTGTCGGGGGGTGCACTCCTCTGGTGCAGATAAAATGACTGTTGCCCTCAAAATGGGTTTGTTTTGTTTGTGTGTGTGTGTGTGTGTGTTTCTTTTTTTTTGCTTTTTGGGTCACACCCGGTGATGCACAGGGGTTACTTCTGGCTCTGCACTCAGGAATTACTCCTGGTAGTGCTGTGAATCGAACCCAGGTCGGCTGCGTGCAAGGCAAATGCCTTATCCACTGTGCTATCGCTCCAGCTCCAAAATGGGTTTGTTTCTATATTGCCCACTTTTGCTTCCCCAGCTAAGTGCTTGGCTGGATGTTTCTTTTTTTTTCTCTCTTTTTTTGGGTCACACCCGGTGATTCACAGGGGTTACGCCCGGCTTTGCACTCAGGAATTACTCCTGGTGGTGCTTAGGGGACCATATGGAATTCTGGAAATTGAACCTGGGTCAGCCACATGCAAGGCAAATTCCCTACCCGCTGTGCTATCACTCCAGCCCTTGACTTGATTTTTTTTGTCTGAGATGACTGAATGCAAACTGAACCAAAACAAACACCAACAAATCATACTTTTTTATTTGTTTGTTTTTCAATTTTTTTAATTTCTGGGTTGGGATTTTGCTGCATATATGCAGAGCTTAGCAGTCGACATTAATTTACAGACTGATCAGCTTTTCATCATGAGATGTAAGAATAACGTGACTCTAGGTATGGCTCAGAAAATGCCTTTGTTCAAACTTTCGGCTCTGTTCTCAGTCCTGTTCCCAAATACCAAAGGCAGATGGAGCCTTACCCATTGACAGTTCCACAAAATTGGTTTCTCCTTTAACTACCTGATTTCTGAGACATGCTATGATACTTTCTATTTTTCTTCTACTGTATCACTCTAAAATGATAACTTTGGACTTTGTGAGACTGAAGAGCTATAACAGAGGGTAAGGCACTTACCTTGAATGTGGTTAACTTGGGTTTGATCCCTGGAGTGATTGAATACTACTCAGGGTAGTATTTGACCCCTGAGTACTACTAAGAGTGATCCCTGAGCATAGAGCCAGAAGTAAGTCCTAAGCATCATTGGGTGTGGCAAAAATAAAATAAAATAAGATAAAAAATGACTCTGTAGGGAACAGTCATTTCTAAATCAAAGTTTTAGATAATTTTTTCCAATCCTTGCATTTTACCAGAGAGGAGATTGATACATTCTAATCATATGTTCTTATAAAAATAGATATGGATACTCTATAATTAAAACCAATATCAGTAGACAAAGAGAGGTAACTAAGAGATTTCTTTTAAGATTTTATCACTAGAGATGTGCTTGATTTGGGAAGGGGAGGGAAGAGCGCGCTCTCTCTGTCTTTTTCTTTGTGGGTCACACTCAGTGATGCTCAGGGGTTCCTCCTGGCTCTGCACTCAGGAATTACTCCTGGCAGTTCTTGGGGGAACATATGGAATGTCGGGGACTGAACTCGGTTCGGCCGCATGCAAGACAAATGCCCTCCCCAGTGTACTATCACTCTGGTCCTGGAAGAACTTTTTTGTCCTGATAGGGCTTAATCAATTTGTTTACCACTCAGATTTGTTTATTTGCTTAATGTATAGGATAAATATTAATACCATGTATGTTTTTTTTTCTTTTCTAGCAACATCCATTTTTTACCCTACATGAATCAAAAGCAACAGATGTGGCATCTTTTGTAAAAGTGATTCTTGGAGATTAAAAACAGTGGACTCAATCAGATGGCCCTCCTGTGGATTGGTGGGTTTACGGGGTGAAGCAAGTTCACTAAAGCGCCGATAGAAACTCATCTTTGAGATAATTTAAACCTTGCCTTTCAGAAGGTTTTTTTTCTCTTTATTTTCTTTCCCTGCCCCCCCCTCGCCCCTGAAAGGGGGCCTTGGAATCTATAGTATAGAATGATCTTCTAGCTTGATGGAAGGCTTAGAACTTTAAAGGTTGATTAAATATTTAATGATGTGTCATATGAGTCCCCAGGCTTCTCAAACTGCTCTTGTTCTTTACAAAATGAATGCATTGGCCCTGTTTTTTTTTTAAAGGTGCTACACTAGTGATGAAATTTTAAGTAGATTTGTAGTTTGTCCATTTATTATTTTAATATTTATGTGTCAGTGCTTGGTTGAAAAGATTCCATAATATCCAAGAAGGGAGACATAAAAAACAAAGTTGATTTGGCAATATTTATAGGGCTCTTCTTTTTAATGTTAAGTCGTATCTGGAGTTCAGGAGAAATTATTTAATATGCATCATTCAGCGTATTATAAACATATTAACAAGGAACTCTTCTTGTGAACATGTTTCAGATGTTATGGTTCCTGCCTTGTTCTTTTATTTCTTCTCAATCCTGGGTGATCACATGTTCTAGGTGAAGTGGCAAGGCATTCTGGTCACACTCTGTCCCCCGACTTTGGCGAACCTAACATCACTGTCCTCAGAGTTCAAAGAGTCACACTGGGGTTCTCTTGACATTTGTAGTTTAGTATTCATGAAATGTGATTTGTGATGTGATTTTTGTATTGCCTGTATATCCTTTCATTTGTGTGTGTGCTTGTGTGTTTGGGAGGTTCTGCTAAGTGGCTTCGGGGAACATCTGTATTTAGTAAGGAGGACGTTGGTTGGCCCTGAGGATACATAACGTGTCAGTCACACAGAGTGGTGCCTTTTCCTTTTTGCTTTTGTGTGTCCTATAATGTAGAAGCCCCCAAACATTGCCTTGTAGTGAACTTACTCTTCTGCTTTTTCTGTTCAACGAAGACTTACTCTTCGTGGAAGGACTTTTAAATAGGAGAAAAGTAAAAGCAGTTAGTAGTTCTTTGGTAAGAATCAGAGAGGATGGGGAAGGTTGAATTCATTCCTAAGAATAGACATGGGTTTCCTCAGGTTATATTGAGGTTGCCTCTCTCTTCGGCAGCAGGCAGTAGCTTCCTCCTTTCATAAGAGGCTAAATATGTGGTGGATTTCTAATGGGTTGACTAGGCAATGAATGCCCTTTTCCTATGGCCAGTACACCTGTGGCTTCTCTGATTAAAGGTTTGGGGTCTTGAAAGATCTAGTGAATTGCTTTACAGGGAAAGCACAAATAAGAACCAGGAACCATTGCTTTGGTTTTTGTTTGAACACTATAAAGTAACTCCTGCTATTTACTGATAGAGAATTTTGGGAGAGAGAGAGAGAGAGAGAGAGAGAGAGAGAGAGAGAGAGAGAGAGAGAGAGAGAGAGAGAGAGAGATTTGTTTCCTTCTTTATCTCAGGTTCATAGATACAGAGTGGGGAGTGTACCCCCTTTAGACCTCCCTTTTCTTTCTTTTTAGATTTTGAAGTGCAATCAAACAATTTTCTGCTTGGATTTTCTCCATGGCTTTGACCTCTAGCTCTTGCCAGTAGTTGTCCAGAGCGGGTATGGTACTTCCATTACTTTTGCGTATTCTATTTCAAGAGATACTGGTTTTATTAAACATCAGTTTCATCTGCTTTGAATCTACCTCTGTCCTCACCATTTTTCCAGCCAGAAATGGGGTATTGTCCTAGTAATCACAGCCATTGTCTTCCTGACTCACTTTGCTAAATATGGAGGGCCCTTTTTGAGGCCCAGAAGAAGGAAAAAAAATTCCCAACTTGTGTTACTTTCTGTTTTTCCATTTTGGGAAAAAAAATGAAATTCATAGGGGGAAAGCCCCAGGGTCAATCTGTTACATTTTTTTAGTAAAATATATAAAATCAAACATCATTTTCTTCTGAATCAGAGAATTCTTACTTGATTTTAAGTGTGGTTTATACTTTAACTGATTCTTAACATCCTGCATTTTCTCATGTGACTCTCTTCCCAATCTCTGTGTGAAGACGTGAGCTTGTCATGCTAACTGAAGGAAGTTAGGCTAGGACTCTCAATGCTGGTGTCTTCTTGAATTGTGGGAGCATGTGAACGCTCTCAAGACTGAGATCCCAGAGACATGGATTCCCTAGATCCAGAGTGAGGCCTGGGAGTTGTCATTTTTTTACAAGTCACTCTTGGGATTTGTCATGCCTCAGTACTAGTACTAGCCTAATACCTCAGGAGTAGGGTGACTTACAATGACTTTCTCTTCGGCATTTGCAAAGAGTAAGAGAAGCCCCCATTTCTTCCTCTCTCCTCATTTTGAGAAGAAACTTGCCCAGTAAGATATAGCATCTTCCTAGATTTCTGATGGAAAATTTCGGATACCTTTTTTCACAGAAACAATATCCTTTATGGTGACTCATAGCTACCTTATATACTAAATAAAATGGCTTAGTAATCTTTTTAGGTATAAATTTTAGAATGTGGTGATTTAGTTTTTGGAGGACTCTGCTATAAGGTCTTAACAAGTCATATTAAAATAACATAAAGATGCATGAATTCCTAAGTTGATATAAGTTGGAGGTTGAGAGTCTCCTATGTATATATACATGTATAGATACATATCTGTATCTATATTCTATATGCTGCATATATATGTATCTGTGTTTATATATGTGTGTATATATAGAGGAAGAGAGAATAGTGTTCTACTACTAGAATTGACCATCTCCATATCAACTCTGTATTTATCAGTGTATTAGAAAGTCAACATAGCTCTGCAAAAAGCAACCAAGATATTTTCTCACCAAATATGTCTGATTTGGTGTCACATAATTGATAATAAAAATTGTCTTTATATTTATGAAATCATCCACCTCTGCTTTCAGAGGTGAGCCAAAAATGTCATAGGAATAACTGTTAAAAGAATTGATGTCTGTGTATCCATATAGCAAGTATTGCCCTTCAGAGAAACTACCTTGAAAGAATATATATTTATATGAAAAATGATACGAAAATATTTTTGCCACATACCTTTGAAAGAAAAAAAAGGCTTTCAAGTCTATTCCTTCTCCTTTATGTGAGGCATACAGAATCATCTTCCTTAGTTTACCCACCGTGTTTATCATACTTTCCACCTCGTTGTATTTAGTCATCTCTAAAAGTCGACTGTCCTCAGAGGTGAAGTTTCCTCCTCTGTGTAATCTTTTAAAATAGACCTTCCTTTTGTGCATTTGAAAGATACTTCAAATATATATTTTTCAAGTGTATGTGTGCGTGTGTGTGTGTGTGTGTGTGTGTGTGTGTGTTGAAGCAAAGTCAGTCCCCCAGGAATAAGTTCTGGGTTTCTCTTGATGGCCACTTTGAAGGAGGATGAAATTCCTGAGTTGTTCATATGAATGAAGAAACATTCTTCAGATTGTCTCCAGTTTACACCTGGCCCTCAACTGGCAGCCAGGACTGAGGCTCCTGATAGGGAGAAATAGTCTTATATTAAAGACAATACTGATCACACTGAAAAAGCCAGAACCAACATGGAAAGGAAAATGAATAGGAATAGATAGCCCCAATTGCTTGTATTTAAACAGAAAACCAAACTAGGGAACTGGAGAGATAGTACAGGGGTTAAGGCCTTGTATGTGGATGCAGTACATATGTTCCCCTGAGCACCACCAGAAGTGACCCCAATCACAGAGTCAGCGATAAGCCCTGAGCACCACTGGGTGTGACCCAACATGACCCCCACCTCTCATTCCCCCAAAACAACACAAATTATTTGGCTTGTGTGATTTTTGTGTATCTTCCAAATCTTAACAAAAAAATGTATATCCCAGAGATTCCCAAACTTTTACTATTCATGGCAACCTAGTTTGTTTGAAAAATTATTTTCATGGTGCCTGCCCTAACACCCTCCAAATACTCAATAACTGTATTTATATAAATATTTATATCAAAGCGTCTATTAAGAAACTATAGAGGTTTCTTTGCCTCTACATGAAATGAATAGTTTCTTGTGTTTCCCTTGTGTGTTTGCTTTGGCACCTCTGGATGTTAATGTAGACAGATTAAATTTGTGTGGTAGGGATGCACATATAAGTCAACAACTAATAAGCCTCAAAGTGGAATTCTTGACCATTCGCTCCTCTCTCACTCTTATTCCAGCTTCACTGTTTCATCAACACATTTTTAATTTTGCTTGCCTCTAGTTGATTAGCTTTTTAATGGAGGTCCTACCTTTTATTGCAGTTCATCAGTTCTGCAAATGGCAAATGCCAAAGTTTTTTTTTTTTTAATGTAAGAGACTGCTATTTACTCAGCCACTGATTAGCTGATTGCATTGGGCATGAACTCCACCCTTTTTTTTTAATGCCAAAGTTTTGAAGGTGAAGTTATATTACCCCAGAATCAGAGACTAGCACTAAGACTAAAGGGGCTCCTGGCTTCTTCAGATGCAATTATTTAGTATTTCTGTAATTTAATCCCAAAAGAGGCAAAGAGACTCTGGAGATCTTGAGTTGAACATGGTCTTGTCAATCAATGGGCTTAGTTCAACACGGAGAAATTTGCTTGATTAGGGCTGGAGCAATAGCCCAGCAGGTAGGGCGTTTGCCTTGCACGCGGCCGACCCGGATTTGATTCCTCTGCCCCTCCCGGAGAGCCTGGCAAGCTACTGAGAGTATCTCGCCTGCACGGCAAAGCCTGGCAAGCTACCCATGACATATTCGGTATGCCGAACACAGTAACAACAAGTCTCATAATGGAGACATTACTGGGCCCACTCGAGCAAATTGATGAACAACGGGAGGACAGTGGACAGTAAAACATCAAATGTTTTACCCCAGGATGAAAGTGGAGTGGGTTCCTACTGCAAAATCTTTCCAAGTGGCTTTTTATAGTTTAGAAACTTCTAATTTTGAAGATGGGATCCCGAAATTTATGCAAATTCAAATTCATAGTTATTGGCTCTTTTCGATGGCTTGGTGAAATTAAGTAAAGCTCTTTTCTCGGGGATTTTGTCTTTTTTAATGCCTGTGACATAA